AAGAAAAAGTTTTTTTGGAATGATATTAGAATGTAAGATAGTTTCTTTATTAGAAGAAGGTTAAAAAAGTCAAGTTCCAGATATTAAAAAAAGAAAGAAAATGTTTATCATGTCAGACTGTATTTATTTGCATTTTCTATAATTTCCCTTCGGAAAAAATTTTAAGATCTTTTGAAAACAAATAATTATTTGATGCTCAAGAAGTTCCACCAATGACTAAGCAGCAAAGTTGCTTAGCTTGATCTTGGTTCGATTCCAGGTGAATGGAGCTGGCTACAGTTCATGTCTTTCCCTACGTGTAATGTGGATATGAGCTAATTTCCCTTAGAAAAGTCCACAAAGGCATCTTTTACCTTAGGCAGATAGAACTTTCATGTTTTTTCATAATCAAATAAACTAAACACAACAATTCAGGACAGCATTCAATTCCTCTCATTTTCAAAATCATTAAAAAAAAAAAAAAAAAAAAAAAAAAAAAAAAAACTGATATTAAGCAAGCATATTACTTCTAGTTTTGCTGAAACCAGGTTGCTAGTTATAAGCAAGAGTGTTACATAATATTATTTGACAGAATTCTATGATAGGTAATTTCCTTAGATATTTTTTACTGATTGTTATTTATTATATTTCACTTACCCTTTGAAAGAAAAATTTCATAGCCATTCTTGCTGGTCATGAATCTGCCTATTTCAATTATGAGTTAATGGTAGTATGATAATATTAAATTTTGTAACAAAATATACCAGCATATACATAAATAATGTAAGTAAAGTTTTTCTAAAGACAAATTTTATATTAATTTTACATATTGGGTTTAAGAACAGCAATAAATAAAATTTCCTGAAATACTTTGAAATGTTTTGTAGAAATATGCAAGTATATATAATACCTATGAACTTACCTTACTCTCTATTGTAAATCTAAATAAATTTCTTTCTTATAATATTACTCATCCAAGCATCTTGGAAAATTTGTCATTAGTTACAACCACATCCAAATTAATGAATAAAGAAAAATATTTTCAGGGTCTTTAATGATTAGATAAGCTAATTTTGAAAATCATACGAGAGTTATTTTCCTTTTTAAGATATCTTCTCTCTTTTATAAGGCTCATTAATTTTTACATAAATCAGTTTTCAATGGAAAAAATCATAACATTTTCACACAGTCCCCTCCCCATTTTAACAGGAACTGTATAAGGAAAGGATAACTTACAGAATTTCAATAATTTTCTTCATTTTACTGCAGGATAGATATATTAGAAATATCACACAGATTATCACAGAGTTTATACATCAATGTATGACACAAAATTTGAATTAATCACTGTGATAGGTTGGATTTGTGCCTGTGTAATGGTAAATATTTAAAAACAAAAATCTGACTTTTCTTTCATTACATTTTCAAACAAAAATTAAATCTGAAAAATGAGTGCAATGTTTGTGGCCAAGCACTCATTACATTACATAAAAATGTCTGAAGGTACCTAGAAAGCCATTTTCGAGATACTTTTCAATTACACCAAAGTGCTAATTGTATAAATCAAACACACGAGTTACCCACTGGTGCTAATAGCACAATTATTTATCAGGTTATCTTAGCTATACAGGATATTTTTTTTTAAAATGCATGGCTGATATCTTTTTAATAGTTGGTTAGAAGGGCCACAGCTACAGTTTAAGACATGAATCAAATAAAGTAGGCCTTCAGACTATGACATTTTTGAACATGTGGCACTTTATACTCTCTCCAGAAAATTTAATGAATGATATTTTAGTTAATTATAACTGCACGATGATAGAATGAATACATTATTTGTTTATCTGAAAAATTCAAAGATGGAGAAAAAAATTCTCATAACTTCCCCATTACCAAGCTATATAAAAATTTAATTTTCATATTTTTAATTAAAAAGATTAGATTGTCTTAAGAGCATTTTCTGCATACTATGATCCGTAACTACAATCAGCAGTCATTATGACCGCTTGTTCCAAACAGAAGAAAAGGCTCGTTTCCTGCTAATATTATGTAAAGTTAATGCTTATAACGATACATTTTGCTTGTTTAATAAGTAAATAAAATTGAGTAAATACATGCAACCCAAAGATAATTTATTCTAACAAATAGCAAAATAAGTAAATATTGTATATTAATAGAAGGATAATTTAATGTAACAAAGAGCTAAAAGAGGGGGAAAAAATCACTCTAGTTTTAATCTTCTTATGATTTAATAAACTGCCTCCTAAAAATTTTCAATTTGAAATAAATTTATTAAAAATTGCACATTACTTGGTTTTGTGGTGCATACAGATTACTAATTTTTTAATTTTACCTGTACAGGTTCCAAAAACATATTTTTTACAGTAAGTTTTATTGCCTCTGCATATGTTTATTTAGCACTGTTTATCCTTATGGGATAGGCTGAAGCAAGTATCAATTCTCTTTTTGTTAGATACAGAAAGTTTGTGAATTTTTGATGAAATGTAGCTCCTCAGCCGTATTCAAAATAAAAACCACAATGGTTGATGTTGTTTTATTCAGATGTTTCCTTGTAAATTATCCATACATTTATCATAGCCAAATCAAGAATATTAAAAAAAAAAAAAAAAAAAAACCTTGACCTGGCCAACATTTAGATGAGGACTTCACCGAGTATTTTCTGGCCATCTGGTCCAAAACATAAATTCCATATTTGGTGGAATTGTAAAAATTCACAAATTCGGGTGTCTAATTTTCATCAGATGCAATTTCCATTGTTAGGTGCATGGAACTCAGGAGCAGGATGTTCTTGTTTTTTTTTTTTTCCCTTGATAAGACACAAGCGTTATATTGTCATGCTTAGCAATCTTACTTGAACAAAGCTCATCCCTTGTATTTTTGAAAGAATAATGTACTTATTGATGATTTACTGCACCAATACAGCTTATCCTTGAACTCATTTCTTTTACTAATTTCAGCAAAGTAAAAAAATTGCCCATTATTAGGTTTCTTCCAGTACTGTAGTAAGTTTCCATCAACTTGTTTCATCTTTTCCCAAATAGGAAAATCTGTTCAGTAAATATTTTGATTGCACATCAGTAGCAAACCGAAATTTAATGGCGAATTTGTCTGCCTTTTTAGGCATACACCGAATAAATTGGCATCGGGTCTTCATGGGAAATAACTGTTCATCCACTGTTATATTTTCGCCCGATTTATAACATTTCACGCAGGTTTCTATAAAAGCATTCCAAATATCTGAAACAAGGGCAAATGGATCAGTTTGCAGTCTTTGGGATCTAGTTGATTTCCTGTCGAAGAGCAAATATTTCATAATTTCCAGAACTTTGCCCCTAGTGAAAAATGTCAGGCCCCAAGATTTTGACCACAAACTCAGAATAAAAAGACCTTTTGCAGCTAAAGCTCTACAAACATACAACAGTGAAATAAACGCGTATAATTCATCGAGTTTCAGACTCCAATTTGGATTTTAGGATTTTTTATGTGCCTCTTCTTCAGTGCACTGTTGAATGTGATACAATATTTCTTCGATAATAAACAATCTCCATGCACTACTTGAATTACCATCAATCAGTTTTCTCTCTGAGTACGAAGTTGGCCAAGCTGCTTCTCGTAAGACATTCTGCTGAGAATGTCTCTCTGTAACATTTGTCAAAATATTTTTTTTTTTTTTCCCAAACAGAACCATCATTTGCTGTTTATTCGTCATTTTGAATTTCCTTATTTTGGATACATCTTTTGTAGCTTTTCACTATTTTCTCGAGCTCAATTACTGCTGTTGATTTCAATTCTGGAAACTATAATAGTAGAAGGCAATGTAATGTTTTCTCGGTCTAAATTTTTTCTTTCCTTTTCTGTTTCGTGAACAGATTCTCCATCAGATGAATTTGATTCAATTGTTTCAGTAGGAACAATCCAGTCCTCATCAGATAAATTGGATGTAGTTTCAGTATGAAATTCTTCATCAGGTTCAGTTTCTGAAGCAGAAATATCATCAGAAAGACTTTCAAAAACTTACAGCATCTCTTCCTTCAGTAGATATTTTCTACCAACATTTCTACATGACATGATAAACAAGCCAGAATAACTATCCAACAAAACTATCCAAATGAAATAATGAAATGAAAAATACATTTGTGTCTATGAAAAATAACCTTTCTAACACAAGGGAAATTCACAGACACGTAGCACCCAAAAATTCCAAGCACGTATTTTTATTCCCTCTTGCCCTCCCTACTCACTTATGCGAAATATGCAATCTTCCTTAACAAAAATATACTTTTTTATCTATCAGCAAACTGGTGTGGTGGTGGTGTATTTAATTATGGCAAAGCACACTAGGGCTATCTGCCTAAGGGGAGGGATGCCTTTCGTGGAGGACTTTCTAAGGGAAACTGACTCGTATACACGTTACACATGGGGAAAACCACGAAAACGCCCATACAGCCAGCCCGTTCGCGGGATACGAACCTCGGACCGAACTACCAGTGTTCAGCGTCTTTACCGCTCGGCCGCTGGTGGGCCTATCAGCAAACCGGAAATAGCTAAAAAAAGTTTTTAAAAAATGAAATATATAACTTTCTGGATACAGTCAAAATAACCGACAGCTGTAATTCTAGGATTAAAAAAATAATATTGGCGAAAATAATTATTTAAAATGGACTAAAAAACATCATGTAATATTCACAAGTATTTAGAAAAAATAGAAAAATATCAGTTATAAATAAAAAATTAAAAAAATTATGCCCAATTAAAATGGATATATGGTCAAAATGATTGCTGCCATAATTCTAGTGTTAAGCTGAAAATCTGTCTTATTTGATTCATTTCTTAAACTGGATTGAGGCTTATTTAAAGATAATTCTGAAAAAGTTTTCTTTTTTATTTTATGTATATTGGTTAAACTTTATGTGTATAGTTAAACTTGGTACAATGATATTACTGATGAAGTTACTTCATTTGATAGCTTATTTTGGAAACTAAGATACATAAAGCCAAAACACAGGAAGTATATAATTTATTTCTTTAAATTTAAAACATTGCATGGATATTTTTACAAAATGCATTTGAAATATATCACTTTAACATGAAATATTAATAAGCATTTAAAATGCCACATTTGTAATATAACAAAAGCATACTGAAAAATAAAACTTTGAGTGAAATATTCAATTACAGGAAAGGAAAATAATGCACAAATTAGGAATATATAGCCATAAGCAAAACTTCATACAAATCATATGTTAATACAAGTCACAAGTAATCACATATAATAATGCTAACAATTAATAAATTGTGATGAAAGAGCAATAGTCACTTATGCAGTGAAAGATGATTACGATTCATTAAAGTAGCATAAACAACTATATCTAGAAGCAAACTTTTGTTGTCATTCTTGTGAAATTAAAATAAACATCTTTTCAAACACTGATGAAACTAGAAAATAATACATGTAATTAAATTAGAAGATTCTTTATATAATTATTTAAGAATTAATGAAAACCAAAAAAGGTACAAACCACATTTTTCTTATAATAACATTTTTTTTTCCTAAAAAATATATGTACATAGTCTTTTTTCCTTAACTGTTATATTTATTTATAACTATACTTTAGATCAGAGGTTCTCAACTGGTCGTACATGTACCACTGGTGGTATGCAAGAGACTTATAGGTGGTATGCAAAGAAGCAAAGTATTTTTAATTATTAAATTCAAAAATTAAAACCCCAACATACTGATTGAGGTTTTTCTCTAACACTAGTAAGTTTTTACGATCTGAGCTTTATTCAAGAGTAATGGTGGTAGTAGTACTTTGTAGTGGTGGTACTAAAGTTTTTCAATTTTTGCTTAGATGGTACGCTTTAATCAAAAGTTTGAGAACCGCTGCTTTAGCTCATAAACTCTAAATAAATGAACACAGTGTATAATAGGAATTTATTAAAAATTAAATAAAACTCACCAACAATGAAGTTAAAGCCTAATCATCTGTTTAGACTTTCATAACAGAAACATTGTCAGGCATCAACATTTAGTCATCAGCATCAATTTCAAAAATAAAAGTATTGATATAATTAAACTACATCTTAACTACGAAAATCTCACATATATTAGAAGAGAAATAATTATCACAAGTGTGAAAGATGTAAAATAGTAAAAGTGTGATACATTAATAGTAAAATACCTTTATGACCATTTTAAAAAATTAATCTCTCTCCGGTGAAAGGAATTAACGCAAAATCTATGTACTTTGAAACTGTTCTTTAGCAGTAAAGAAATTCACATATATAAAATATATATATATATATATATTATATATAACACACCATATACTTGCCAAATTCCAGTAATAAGGATTTTATGTAGAGTGATACTATGCAAGACAAAGAAAATAGTAAAAGTAACAGGAAAAACATATCACAGTTAAATTAAATGAAAGAAAAAAATGCAGAGTCAAAATAAATCATACATATAATACATACTATGCACATTCCAAAATCTGATACTATAATTTCACAAGACAGTTTGCAGTGTATGCAAAAACCTGCAATATAATTATTAAAATTATAAGCATATGAAGTGAATGCAGAAATATGAAAATATGATAATTATTATTAAGTTTATGCACAGCCTTATAAAAATAATTACTAAACTTTTGGATAGCATGACCTTTTTGTACTGCATCTATCTATAAGGTAAATATTAATCCTTTGAAAGGCTTGACCACTTTCATTCAGCCACTTGTTGTCATTTTATATGTATTAACTTATACAATGGTACCTTGGTAGATACATCTGTTTTAAAATAAGTCCAACTTGATAATGTCTTGTTTGAATGTGAAAATTTTTGTTTGATATTATGACTCTAATCTGATAATTCATGATTGTGCACTACCCTTGTTTACCTCTTTTAAGACAATGCTATGACTAATTCTGCACAAAAAAGCAACAGTAAATGGCAACCTCTAATGTCTGATCTATACTCAGCCAAACTTGGCACTGTTATCAATTACCTTCAGTGTTTCTGCACATAGGTTGCTTTCCTAAATCTCTCATATAAATAAAAATTGGTTTATTTATTTTTGTGAATTATTTGATGACATTTTTTATTTTTTACACATACATTGTTTAACCTTTATTGGTAATGGAACTAGATTAATAGATTTAATAATTTTACTAACATGATTAACTGGTGTATTTCTGAAACTTCTTAAGGAGAAAGGAAATCCTTTGGGTAGATTTTTAGCTTGAAGCTTCATTTGCAATCATATCCAAGAAGTTACTTGACAGAAGGAGAAAAAGATAAATAAATCTGGTAAATTTTCATTAACGTACAGTATATATTTCAGCCACTGCATTTGTATTTTAATACTAAAGTGCTATGTAATTATTTCCCTTTGTTTTTTTGTTAGAAATGTTCATTTGATTCGAGTATTAATGAAGTATACCAAGGTACCACTTTAAATACAAAATTTTATTATTTGCTACTTAAAATATTCAGCTCTCTTATTTCTTTAATGATTTAAGTATCATTCTAAATGAAAGGAAGCTTAGAAACACAAAAAATTATTTAATACATACTATGCAAATACAGCTCTTCATAAGTAGATTCGAAGAAGCCTGGCAGCTCAAAGGATTGTGGGCAAAACAACAAAAACTTTTTTAAAAACACTTCAATTATCAATTTTTAATATACCAATTTAATAAATTATTTCAGTTAGTGCAATACAGTTTTTAACTAAAACAAAATATTAAAATTAATTGATAATGTCCATAGCTGCTATTATAGCATACTTTATAAAAATTCATAACAACTGTCTAAACACTTTGCTTACTGAATTAAGAATATTATTTTAGATGCAATATTACAGTATACAACAATACAGCCACATAATATGCAAACAAAATAGTTTTCAAACAATGAATAGGCACAAAAATGAATACACTTAATACACAAGCACATGAATTAATACACTTAAAATCTCTTCAAGCAAAATATTATTCATTCTAGTAAAAGATACAGAAACTTATTTTAAACCTCTTTTTATATAAAATATTATTTCTTATAAAGTGCAAATGAAAAATGCTTTTTTAAAATTATTTGCAAAAGAATACTTACATTTGCATAAATTTAAACTATTAGAAGAGTTTAGAATATGTTACACAATTTAAATGGATATAATAAGGAGTGCTATTTAGTAGCACTTCATATTTATAGGATCAAAAATGCACTTTTTAACAAAAAAAAATATTTTCACAGCATGCCTGGCATATCATTTTCTTTGTTTCCTTCTTTCTCAAAGAACATATAATCCTAAGAGAGAGAGAAAATACTTTATTAATTTTAAGCAAAGTTACATAAAATGTCTTGGTCTAATAATTTAATAGAAAAAATGCAATAGAATTCTGAAGATAATTTTTAGGGGAATAATACAATAAAACATAGAAATAAAATATCAAATTAAGATCTAGATCTGATTAACTATATATATATATAAATGAATAAATACAAAGTAAATAGCAGTTCAAAACCTAATGCAATTAACGTATCTGACGGCATATAAGACGCACCCTTATTTAGACGGCCACACACAAGGAAAAAAAAGTTTCAATAGCGTGGTTTCTTTTAGTTATCACGTTTCGTAAAAGCCAAATAAACAATTATTGAATGCAATTACCTTCACATATAAGACGCAGGTAACTTTTTTTTAGAACAAATTTAGGAAAAAAAGTACGTCTTATATACTGTCAAATACGGTAGATACTGAAAGCAGCAGCAAATGGTGATAATAAACCAAAATAAATTAAAATAAATAATATGATAAAAATATCATCAGACATTCAATTCTCAATAAACTAAAGGCAAAAAACAAAAACCAGAAGCATAGCAGCAAATTAAAAGGAGGGAATACCAAAATGAAATAAGAAATTTACATTTCCTACTGCATCATCATCAGAAGGCTGGTGCAAAATAAAGACACAAAGCTTAAAACTTAAAAAAAATAATCAAAGTAATCTGTCTTAGTTCAACCCCAACAGGCTGAAGAAGTGGTGTAAAACTTGCAAAATTATAGTATCAAAAGCATACACAAATCTAAAAATGCATAAAAATATTATTTTGAGCAGAAATTTTAAAAACAAAACATGCAAATATACAAGTATATGCAAACATATAAATATGTAAACATAACAAATATATGCAAATATAATTGCTGTTGAATATCTGCAGTTCTTTTATCATTATTACTATTATTGTTATATGTAATAATGTAGATAAACATAATGATGTAGGAAAGCTGATTGTATAGATGTTGATCCATAATAACAGTAAATTTGCAGTCAAGGCAGACTAAATATTCCTTATTAATTTGACTGACATTTGCTGCCACAAATTTTTGCACACATTTGCTGCCAAGGTGTAGCAAATGTGTAGTTATCCAATATGGAGGATTATTAAGAGAGAGCTTTTGGTTTACGTTTTGAAAATAGTTACATCATTATGTAAAAGTCATAATGATAGGATTAACCTAGAAATGACACAGTTTACTTATTATTACACTCTTTTGCAAAAAAATCGAAGCACCATGAAGGAAGTGGTTGTTTTTTGATGAAATTGAATATGTGTATAGTTAACACACAGATAATAAAATAATTAAAAATCAAGGTCATAGTACCTGTTTACGGCTCACAATCACCCACTGAGTGTTCAAATTAGTAGTTGGTCGAAACGCCCATGGTGGCGATGCATGCTTGAATTTGTCAAGGGCCGGAGTGGTAGATGTTCCTAAAGTCATTTTGCGACACATTCTGCCAAGCATTCATCAGTTGTCGCTCCAGATCTGCGTTATTTTATGGTGACCCAATCTGGGAGCCTAATATGCCCCAGACATGCTCGATCGGTCAAAGGTCTGGTGATATTGCTGCCAACATCTTTGCACAGCAGTGTCTGTACGCTGCAGGTGGCGGCCTGTTGCTCTCGGTATGATCCCCCAGCTTCACACAACTCTACAATGCGATCACGTTCGAAGTCTTTTAGTTGTCTGTAAGGTTTTCGATATCGTTGTAATGGCATCTTTAGTTGCTTCTTTACGGATTTACAATGGCAGCAACAAAAAAAGATAAATTTTCTGCCTCTGCTACTGGTTTTATACTTTGCAAATTGTGCACTAGAAATGCATGCTATGATCACAATTCCTGTTCATTTGCCTTAAAACTTTGATCATTTGCATGTTCAATCAAGATGTTTTCGCATACCAAATTTTGTCCCGATCGCAAAAGTCCTTCTTGGTGCTTCGATTTTTTTGCAAACGAGTACATTTTTAGAGGGGAACATCAGAATTAAAATGAGGAATTAAAGGGCTATTGCTAAGTTATATATATATATATATAAAAGGTTGGCGACAGAAAAGCAATTTTAAGAAATAAAGGCCTAAAACATTAGTAAATGAAGAGAAATATAATTAAAAAATAACAAATCATAAAACTGTAACCAAAATAATGACTTAAATAATTGCAAAATATAAACTTTGATAATATTATAAAGTCCTAATAAAATTTTCAGTCCATAAAAGTTTTGCATTTTAGAGCCTACATAATCATATTTGTCAAGGGAAGGTTTTTACAAAATTTTTCACATAATATCACAATTATATAATTTTATGCATGTATTACTATTTTGAATAATCACAACAAATTTCAAAACTTGATAACTAATTTTCATAAATAAAACCTGCACTTTAGCATAATTTGAAATTACAGTATTACTAAAATTTATATTTTTATTGTTATTAAATTTCTAATTTTCTTATCATACATAGAATTGAATAATTCCACAGTTTAATCCAAATACAAACATATCCATCAACTGGGCATATTTACTTGAACCAGCTGATGCGATAATATTCATCAGTGGTTAACAGGTATTCAGCAGTTACTCATAAAGGCCTCTGTTCCTTACATAAAGTAACTGGCCTTTGTGAACTGCACTACATTCCATTATATTAATAAGAAAATTTTAAATCACACTCTGTTACATATAAAAATAAGGTGAGAGCTTTCAAAATTTATCTTGTATAAGGAGGGTACAAGGATCAGTTGCAGAGAAGTAAAAACAGGCCTCTGTTTTTGAACCAGTACTCCTTCAACATACACTATTTTTACATTCAATTATTTATCAATTACATATTATACAATTATTATTTAATTATAAAATTATTTACTATGATTTCAACAAAATTTAATTTTTAATTAAATTATTTAAACAAATTTTATTATAGTTATTCAATTAAAAATTTTTTAGCATTTTAAAAAAAGTTTTTAGCATTTCAGCAGTAAACAATGCTTGATATTTTAAACGATAGATATTTTTTATATTATACTCAAAACACTATTTACCATGTTCTGTGCCAGTTTTTCAAATTTACTTCATTCATTTTTTATATTTAGCTTATTCTTAAAATAATTCCAAAACTCCTAAAAATAATTCAAAATTTTTAAACAATAATCTAAATTTCTATTTATTACTTCATAAATTTTCCTTAACCTTATAAGATATTTTCTCCCACCTTTCCGCATGCCTTCATGGTGTAACTGTAACTGGAAACACATTCAACACATATTTGGGAGATCTGGAGGTCTAATGCCAGCGAATTTGCATATTTTTCAGATCTCCAGCACCACAAAAACCTAATGACTCTACATTGTTGTCCAAACTGAAAGGTGGTGGATGATAATTTATCACCAGCAGGATTTGACAATTGGGTCTCTTCATCCCCAGTCACCCTTTAAAAGGGGGAGTATATCAGGTATTTGCTTTCTCTTTTCCACATGTCTTTGTGGCATAATTGGAAGCACACTTGACACATATTATGAACTTCAAATCCTTGTGAGATGTGGTGACTATGAGAAAATTTTTGTTTGAATAAGCAGATGAGAAAGAACAATAATATATAATATGTGGGGCTAAAGGAAAAAACAAAATGTCATTAAAGGTGCTCAGTAAATCTAAAATCAAAAATGTAATATAAACTCAACATCAATTTATGTAACTGTAACTCTAACAACTTACTAAAGGAATTTCTTTTGACAACATAATGAAATTTATTGGAATGTCTGATTTGTATTTTTACAACATTATACTCTTTCCTATCCCATTTTAAGATTTACTAATAATCACTGAACAGGAAATTTTGAAACTTTTACTAGTCTATTTGTTAAATTAGTTATGAGAAAGCACTCCTGGTCTACCTGCTTAAGAGGAGGAATGCCTTTACAGAGGACTTAATACAAGAATTGGCTCACATTTGTGTTACATAAGAGAACACCATGAAAAAACACTCACATAGCCAGCCCAGGGTTGCCACTCAAACAGGAGAATGAAATTCCCTGACTTTTCCAGGTTTTCCAGGTGTGTTTCAAGAAAATTCCAGTCTATACACGTAATGTACGTTGGCTGTGCTAAGAGGTAAATTAATTATGGTATTACTTGTATTGTGTAGCAAATTCACTTAATTATTCAATAAATCCCAGAGGACATTTATTCTTAATTATTCTTGGTATACTTTGTTTGATAATTTTGTTTAGTTTTCCACTTAAGAAACTTAATAAAATTTAAGATATATACATTGGATAACAAATGTATGTTTTATTTAATTATTACTCATGATCATCACCAGTTCAACACGAGGCTAATCCGGTCCTTATAAATCACAACGCAATGCTAAATAGTTAGGTTAGATTTTAGGTAAATTTAATTCGCGTGAGGTATGTTCTTAAAAGGCACCTTAACACTTGAAAACACAAATATAATTATAATAGTTGATGTTTTCTCCACTGAAGATTGAGATTAGAATCTTCCCAATCTGGAATAAAATAAGGCTTTTTTTGCAGACGTTCTGCAGCTAAACGAAAGAAAGAAATCTATTTTAATAAACTGAGGTATTTTATATTTATTTTGCAGCATACATAAGGAAAAAATATGTGCATTAAATTTCGTGATGGTATGTCATCATACTACTATAATTAATTTTAGGATTATGCCAGAGAAAATTTCTTGAAATTTGGAAATATTATTTACTAATAATAAATAAATTTAGAGGGAAGAAGCAACATTAAATTATATGAATAACATAAAAATAATTACTTAAAAATTGAATTAGAATAATCAACGATATTTTAGCGAATATAGTTATATTACATGGCTAGCCTAGATGACTGATTACTATTTTTTATTTTACTGCAAAATGGCAAGGTATTTATTAAAAAGAAAAAAAAAAAAAAAAAGGGTTTAAAAAGATTTTGCGGTAAAATTCTAGTATAAAGACGGTAAGGCTTTGGCACGATTTGAAAATTGTCGCCAAGACCAAAATGACCCGTTTACTGCGCATCATGATGTCGCAAAATCCCATTATTATTCTAAACAAAGAACGTCTATGTAAAGAAGAAAAAGGTTCCATACAAGTAAAATGCTATTACCCGTTAGAATGCAGAGGGAAAATTTGTCAAGAAATTTGGCGACGGAACCTGGCGGCCAGAATTTCTCTCTCTCTTCGCGATGTGTACAGGAAATTGAGAAACACGTGTTAAGAAGAAACGCTCTTTGACAAAAAAGAAAACTACGAAAATCCGTTTTTAAAATTATTGCGAAAAAATCCACGCAATAATTTTAAAAACGGATTTTCGTAGTTTTTTTTTTTGCCTGAAAATAACTAATCCATGAATTTATTTACTTGCGCGCCAAAAAATATTTTCTTTTCCTTTAGAGTTTAAACCACTTGCGCTAAGACTAAACTTCACGGTTGCGGTGCCGTGCGCTACAATATAACAAGCGGTTAAAGTGTCTCATTTACGCCGCTCCGCATCTGCGAGTGCAATCCAGAGCTGTAACTCGAGAAATAATAAACAATCTCGTTGTTAGGCGACGTGTGCACCACGTTATTTTCATTTTTGCGATAAATGCTTATCGACGTGGTGTTCACGTCGCTCACGGTTTGAGACAAAAGTATCTCGACGTGCGTGGCACGTCTTTTTAGCGCAAGTCGTTCAAGAAATTTTAAACGATATTCATTTTATGAACTCTTGATAACGTGACCTTCGAACTTCGACACCGGTTTCGATCTTCGGCGACAGATATATCAGACATGCACAGCTGTTTCCTTCTATGATGGAACGGGGCCACGTCTGTTGCAGAAAAGTTTTCCTTCTTTACAATACATATTCTTTGATTCTAACCTCCATGGTACCGTATACTAGGATTAAACCCATTTTGTTTTATACGAGAACAGGTACTTTCTTTAGTTCATGCACTGCACATGCGATTCTCGAGAATACTGGAAACCAAAAGTTGCGGGAAAGTTGCTTTGCCTTTCTAAAAGACAATCAAATTGGAGCTGCGAAAATTGGCTCTATGCCAGCTACCCAAATGACACTCACGTGATACATAATTCGCCAAAAAAGTTATCTCTTCCGACGTCGGCGCAAAAATCGCTTTTTTTGGCGGCATCGTTGTATGAACTTCCCTGACTTTTCCAGATTTTGACAAAAATACTTAAATTCCCTGACTTTTCCCTGAATATTTTGGTCAATTTTCGAATTCCCTGACTTTTCCCGGTTCTCCCGGTTTTCCAGGTAGCGTGGCAACCCTGCCAGCCTATCTCTTAGGATTTGATCCTAGATCGAACAACCAGTGATCCATTAAGCTATTAATGAACAAAAAACGTCTCAAGAATTGAAATGTATTTACACAAAATAGATAACACATTTTATTCAAAATGATAAATAGTAAATGCAGGAGGAAAGTAAAGCATAAGTGGTCGATATTTTAACCTTCACATGTCAAACAACATGACAGCCCACTTTCGTAAAAACATGAACTTGTGCTATAATAACAGAGCGATTTATTTCAATTTATCTACCTTTGTATTAGCTACGTGCACAAAATATTACAATTAATTATCATAAGGGATAACAATTACAAAGCTTAAAAAGATATAAAATGGCTAATATAAGAAAATATTAGAAATCTGTTACCAGAAAACATTACTTACAATGAGGAAAAGAGCTCCAAGTAAAACTGCTTTTATATTTACATCTAAATCTAGAGGAAAAGTGATACCAAAATGATCGGCATCAGTGAAATATTCTCTCAGTAATCCTGACCATTGCTTGGAAATTTTTCCAACTTCAACGCTACCATCTTTGGAAAGGACCTTCAAACAAATAATTTCAAGATAAAATGATATTTACTGAATATATTTATATATAATATCACAATTATTCAACATCATATATTGCATATGATATTGATTCAAAGTTAATAGAAATCCAGTAATACCTTTTAAAATAAACGATACTTACATATTATCGCAACCAGGTTGGCGCGATTTGTAAGCTTGAGTAAAAAAGTATGAATAGAAAGAAAATGTACATTTATTAATTGCAGATAATTTTTAATACAGTTTTTTTTATATTATTTTGTTTTAAAATATAAAATAGCAATCAAACCCTTCTGGTTTCGAATTTGAATAAGTTGCAGAATTATTTTTTCGGCGGAAATCTTTTGGCTATTGCTTTTAGCACTGATTGAAAACAGTCTTCGCCATTAACAGCTTGAGCTTGGCGCCATATAAATTCGATAAGGTATGAGTTAAGATTATGACGGGCTGTTCCTCTCTGTTTTTTGTTGCGCCATTTGGCTGAGCCCCACATGCGCTCTACATGTTGTGTGTGAACGCCCGTGTTGGGATCCACAAAGTTATATTTGTGATTAACAGTTCCATGCAGAAATCCAGCATTTTCGAACTCACTTGTATTGTATCCTTTCCAGCAATTTGAATAAATGATGCTTCCTTCCTTGATATTTTCGCAAATTTTTTCCATGAGGGTAACGGCGCTTCTGTTAGGTACAGTAACCAAAAAAGTCTCTTTCTTTTCTCGGCAAATTCCACCGAAAACCCATTGCTGCGGTAGTACACACCCAGCGTTATTTTTTCTTTTTACAAATAAACTTTCGTCTAAACACGTAGGGTTGCCGTAAGTAGGGTCACCAAATTTGGCGATTTATGCAAATTTTGGCCTGGTTGCGTTAATACGTAAGTACCAAATAAACATTAAAATATTTGGCCCATTTTCAAATTTTGCTTACATATTGCTGTCCTAAAAGAAAAGAAAGAAAATCCAAGATAAATTATATTTAAAGTTTAACTTATGCAATGCATTGCATAAAGATGACTTTAAAAATATTTCTACAATTTAAAATATATAAAAAAACAATTAAAATTTTTTAGATATAAATCTAAAAAAAAGTAAATCGTAGGCAAAATGCCTGTCTCTTTAAAGTTTTACGTTATTCAATCTCTTAATTTTGTAACCTGAAGTTTAATTATTTTAAATATGAACTATTAGTGTGTTATATTCATGATAAAAATTAATTACAAAAGTTTTTTTCTTTAACAAATCAATAAAAAAAAATTTGTCTTCTACTTCATGTCAAGTTCATTACCTTGAGATTATCTTAACCACAATTAGTTTGTAAATCTTCCTAAAAGGAGCAGTACATATTCAGTGACATAGACAAACTAGTCAAGCTAAGTTTGACTACTTTGAATATGTACTGCCTCCCTTAGGCAGATTTACAAACTAATTGGAGGTAAAATAATCTCAAGGTAACAGACTTGACATGAAGTGGAAGACAAATTATTTTTATTGATTAGCTAAATTTATATTTAAAAATTTTCAATTGATTTTTTATATTTTAAATTATAGAAATATATTTATAGTCATCTTTATACAATGCATCGTTCAAATTAAACTTTAAATATTAATTTATCTTGAATTTTCATTCTTTTCTTCTAGGAAGGCATATGTAAGCAAAATTTGAAAATGGGCTATTTCTTTCTTGATCATTAGCTGGTAGCCATTGTTACACTATCAACAATACAACTTTGCTTTTCGGCAATTGCATCAACAGTAAACACTAATCAGGGCTTTTCCTGATGGGTGTGATTTTGTCAACTTCGAACCATTTATACGAAGGCCCATTCCTGGCGAGTATGCTATGAATGCCCCACATGTAGTTGGCAAAATTTAGAGACATCAAGTTCAGTCAGTATCCTGTGAAATGATTACCTGTGAAAGGACAATCCAATAATTTTGTTGTCCAAAGGGCAGTAAAAAAAAACAAAATAAATTATATATATTCAAAATTATATAGATGTGTAAAAAAAAAATCCATGCAGACACTCAGCGTCCCAGGAACGGGCCTGGTTATAGCAAATGCATAGCTGCATTGCATCATTTTTGGGACATAACTATTTTCCCAGGGAAAGTATTCGGGATAACATTTGTTTATTTTTTTATGTCATGTTTTTTATTACTAATTAATTAGATGTGCAGAGAAATGAAGTAGAAACAATTCATTATTTTCAAGCATCCGGTATTTTACCAATCAGTGTTGTGATTTTCATGCAACAAAACTGCACAGGATGCAAAATATTATACGACAGAAATATTATAATAACAATTGCCAAAAAAGTGTTAAAAAATGAAATGAAAACTGATTTGGGAAGAATTAGCTTCCTATTTATGAGAGTTTATATGGAGGCATAAATACGCTTTAGAACAGAATAATATACTGTTTGTTGCGATTCTGAATAAAATTGTCACATAATAATCACTGGAAATCAAAACAACTATTTAATGGATCTGCAGATGTTGAAAATATATTTCGCAGCCAAAAAAGCACCAACAATCTGTTAGTGGTATACTGGCAGCTAATACCCCAAGTACTAAATATTTACACAGTGTACTCTTGATTATTCAGGTGCGGATTATCTGTGCATAGCAGTGCCTACTAAGGAGGTTAGGATAAACAGAGTAAATCTTCCCTATATGTCCCAAGCACTGAAAGTGAAGCCATGAAACATAACAACTTATCATGGCTGCTGTGTCATATTCATTGTCCGACACCTCCTTGGTTTTGTTTACATTCTAATTGGTGTTATTTATATATCAGGTATTCATTATTTAAAGTTTATAGGTCTCCTGTTCTTATTTTAATGCTTAAAACCCAAATGACTTTCTGCTTAGTAATTACAGAAAACGAAGTTTTATATGGTGGCCATGATAAGTCATGATGTTACATAATTGACATTCATTTGGCTTCACTTTTGTTACATCATGCTTACTCCATTCATTCTAACCTTCTTGTTGCTCATGCATTCAAATTCAATGCTATGTGCAAGATTTAGTAAAAAAAAAAAAATTGCTGAATTATGTCTTTAAGACTCTTTTTGTCTAAAAAGTAAATGTTGAGGAACCTAGTGAACTGTTTAGAAACTTATGGCTGTGTTAAAACAACTAAAATGTAGACTCGAGAAGGGATAAAAATACCCTTCATTTCACTCAAAATAAGATGAACAGTCGGCCCTTTCTCGGGCTTACAATAAAGCCTCCATTTAGGCTTAAACTCAAGAGTAAGAAATAAGTAATAATGTTATTTTGAACTAAACTATAACTAACTAAAGGAGACTTAGCCAAAGCTAACACAAGCACCTAACGTAGCTGATGCTTAATTTAAACTAGCCAGCAAATATCAAAAGGCACGTAATAATACGGCCAAGCATAACAGCTTCAAGAGAGATTTAGCCTGAAGGCGAACAAAGGCTACTCGGGATTCCTAGCTCTCTCTTAGTAAGTTGAACCTTCATTAAATACTTTCTCTAAATCACTTGCATTCAATGCAATTCTAAAAAACTCATTCTGGTACGGAATTATAAGTGGAAACAAGAATTGACAGGGAAGCACTTTGAAAATAAAATAACTGTTACAAAATTAAAATATACTTTACAGGGTTTAATTTCAATGATTACTTCATTCGATACATTCTGCATGTGCACAGTCGAAGGTTCCTCAATGGGATTTTTTTGTTTCATGTGATTTTTCATGTATATTTTCTTTTCATTATTTTAAAAGTTAATTTTGATAATTTTAGAACGAAAAAATTATCAAAGAGCACGCTTTAAGTACTAAGCACAAGAAAATTGTTTTAATACTACAACAAAAACTCATATCAACTGAAAGTTTTAAACATGGTAAATCGATAATAAAAAGTTCACCAAAGAATATGGAATTTGCCCACAAGCTGTTTATTTTCTTGATAAATAAAAGTTAAGAGGTTTTTGAAGGAGTCATTTCTTTCTTTACAAGGAAAGCTGTATTCTCATTTCCCTCTACTCTACAATAGGCTGGCAATGCTATAGAGAAGATAACAGAATTAAAAAGATATTGGAACTCATAAACATGTTTTGAGCTGCAAGTTAAAAAAGATTGCTATGCATACCAGCTCCACTGTCAAAACTAGTGGTGATGTTAGCACCTAATACTTTACAAAAGAAAGAAAGAAAAAAAAGATTGCTATGTATATCAGCTACAGTGCCAATGTCCCTATCCCATCAGCATACACGTGAATCCACTGATTTTTGGTAAAATAATTTTCACTAGTTTCAAGGGCAACTGTAGTTTCAAGAGCCACATATTTTCCCCTTGTTTTTTAAGACAGTATTAAGATTCACTTTGTAGGGATTTATATTTACTTACACTAACTAGTTAAGCTTAAATTTATGCTTTCTTTCCTATATGCCTTCATTCCCCTAATTGTCATTGGCAAAACATTTAAATTTGGTAGTGAGCGTGAAGAAATGCAAATTCTACCATTAGGAGAAAAGGTTTAAATACTGAGTTCTAGAAGGGAAAGTTAGAGTGGACAAGCACTGTACCTTTGTAGCGTGAGCTTCTAATTCTGCATTTATTGCTGGTTAAGTGGCATAATTGCTATTACTTTGCTGCATCTAGACTTCGACGTGGTTTTAGGTAACAGGATTATCCGAGCCCTGGGGGAAATTCTACTGTTATGTTAATATCTTTGAATTTTAAGTCCAATTCTTGTTATTTGAGTTAAGTGCCCGAGCAAGGTGTAGTTTGTTGGCATCAAGTGGACACATTGTGAATTTTAAAAGAGTTTAATAAAGGGTTCTTTTAACACTTCTCTTGTCTGGTTCCTGCACTTTCTTCAGCTGTCACAAGTAGATATTACAACTTTTACACTAGAATTCAATGAATATACATTAACTCTTTGTAAACCAAACCAATCTGGTTGTTAAATAACCTAACTGCCCAAAATGGTTTTGACAGTCACAGCAATTTATTCCCC